CTGGGAGTGTGGCAGCCTCCAAAGGTTTATATGGAACTACAGCAGCATTTAGTGTTACTTCTGACCAGAGCACTTCCCAACCAGCCAAACAAACATCATTTTCCTCTGCCAAACACAGTGGAAGGAGGAAGTTGGTTTTAATAAATATCAGCTACTGACCTTCTTTCATTCATTGCCTCCTCTCCGCCCCAACTTCCCATCCAGCATTCACCCACATTGCATGCTACACGCTAACCTCTGGGCCACCAACAGCGATATCTGCAGCAGGCACTATGTTCTCTTTGGGAAAATCAGCTTTGTATCTGGAAACATTTGAAAGCTTTCCTGTCTATATGAAATTTGTGCACAGCTCTTTTCAACTGCTAAACGTGAGACAGTTTTGAACTTCTGGAGTGTAGACAAGAGGGAAGTTTGTGTTCAACACTTTGAAACACACAAATTTGTCTGAGACTCCCAACTTGCTTCACAGATAGTATTCTTTTGCTTCAAGGGAGTGAAGCATTACTTAGCCAGAGAACTTGAACGGCTTCTTCAAGGTCACATAAGGAACAACAAAACTAGAAACAGAGCTCAGATCACAGCTTTAAACACTAATGCAAATACATCATCTAGCAGATAGAGCTCCCAAGAGACCAGAGGCCCACTGTGCTGTATGTACACAGCAAAGAGCAGCCAAGAAAAGAGAGAAAGCCAACTAGCTGAGACAGGGAAATGGAGGCACAGAGGTAAAGCAGTCTGGGGGTTTGCCTAAGGTAACCCTGCACATCAGCGACAGAACTGGGAATCAAAGACAAGTCAAGCCTCTGACATCCCCATCCAAGTCTTAGTCTCTCGATTTTCACAATACCTCCCACCACTCCCTAAACTCTGGTGAACAGAACTTCAGGCCAATTCCTACTGTCCTTCCAGCAAGCTTCAGTTACACAGATAACAAGGTTCCATCAAGGATTCCTGAAGAGACCCAAGGAATGGACAACACAGACTGCTTTCCCATTCCAGGACCAGACAGAGAGTCATGGGATGACAGAATCTGAGAATGCCTTACGTTTGCATAATAAATTCAGAGATGAGACCACTGGAACTCTGATAAGCTTCATTAGTCAATGTTGTGTACAAAAAAAGCTTCAGAGCAACCTCCTCTGTAGCTACAGAACTCAGTTCTCAGCCCTAACCAGACAGCATCCTTTCCTATTCCTTTCATTTCTCTCCCTGTACTGTGACTCACTCAGGCACTATATTTGCATTTAATTCCATACACGCTTTGGGGAAACAGTTTATGTGAAAGACAGCATGCAAACTAAGATGCACTGCAAATCAATTTTAAATCAGAAAAGGCTTGGAGAAAGCATCATCTCAAACCACTAAAGCTTTTAGTATTATAATTCTACACCTAGGAGCAGAACAGAAAAATGCCAAAAATTCTCACAAAACATGGTTTAACAAGACCTACATTCAGTATTGACATCTGCCAATAATCAAACACACCCCACAACCAAATTCAGAGGAAAGAGGATTCAAGCCAATACTATTAATGTGGTTTAGCTTTTAGTCCCAAGTCATGACATCATCCTTCCACATTCCTCTTATGAAAATGTCATCACAACAACAGGATTTAACCACTTCCACTGAGGCTGATATCTCTCTCAGAACAGTTAAACGTTCAGTATCAAATATCACTACCTCTTACGCATTAAGGTTGCAAGCACCGTTTTTCTCAGGCTACTGCTATGAATACTTCAGTAAGGTATGTCTGGCACAGCCTGCACACGCAGCTTTTCTGTTCCCATTTCTAGACTTCCCCTCCCAAAAACACTCAGAATGCCAATGATTCCTGTCTCCCTAAGAAGAGCAAAGTTAACCTCAGAGAAAGGCACCATACTGGGCGAAGAATTCCCTTTCTATACAGCTGGCAACCTAACACTGTCAGTCCAACACCACCACAGAGTAAGACACAAATCAATCGCCTAACAGGAGTAAGCCGAGACATGTGCAAGAGAGATAAAGAGTGGCAAAAAGTGATTTTCTGGTCATTTGTTTTAAACTCATTTCAAGAGCAAACATAACAATGTTTGCTCTTGATACAAGAGTTTAAAACAAATTTTTAATCGCCACTTACCTGGCTGGCAAATTCTCTCAAGTGAGCCATGCCTACAGGATGGTCAGACATCAGCTTTTGCAAAATCAGGGAGGGTTGGGACGTTGTAGCACAGCGGGAAAGCGATGCTTTCTCATCCACTGGTCAACTGCGACAAGCAAGAACACAACAGCTCTAACTTGAGGTTTGCAGAGCCTGGCTCATTCCCCAAAAGAGCTACCCGCATCTTTTTTCTCCTCGATTTGCAGTTCTCCTTGAACCTACCAGCCCATTCTAAGTATGCCAGCCCCTCCTTGCAAATGCCATTTCTCAATTCTTTCCAGACATGCCTTCCAGATGTATCAAGGAACCTCACTTTAAAGATATACACTGACAAAGCCTCAGGCACCATTTTCCCCACCATCACCTCAGCGTGCTCCCCAGTATTATAGTTGCTTCTACAGCACTATCCCCTCATCACCACTCCCAGCATCTTTCCCAGCACAGCCCACAGCGTTATCCTCAGATACCCCTTTCCTCCTACTACTCCCCAATAATCCTCTCACTGAGGGTACCCCTCCGCTCCCATTCTCCCCAGTACACCTGCTTGCAAAGCACAGCTCCCCAGTGCACCTCTTCCTCCTCAGGGAACCCCAACCCTACACCATCCCTGGGCCCTCCCCCACCAGTGCTCCCCAGTTCTGCCCCCAGACACCGTGCTCCTCAGCAACCCTCTCCACAGGGCTCCCTTCCACCCCAGCAACAGAACAGCCCCAACCCAGCACGACCCCTCAGCCCAGCCCA